GTCGACAATGCATCTTGACTCCGCGCAACACCCCGTCTGCTGCGATAGGGCGATCTATGTCCTTCCCCACCCGTTCGATTCACTTGCAGTAATAGCTGTGCCGCATCTCTCCTCCACGATTGCCGATGTCCGAGGTGACGACATACCACGTGGATCGTGCGCGTGAGCTTCAACATTCTAGGAACCCTAGGTGTCGCATCTCGTACCGCGAGACACCGGAAGCTTAATATACGCCCACACGTACTACTGCCGACTGGACGCTACTTGACATCCAGCGACTGCCTAATAATGCGCAATCAACGGTAGCTGAGCTCGATAACTTCTATGCGCGGTATCCTCCCTGGGCGACCCCAGGCTAAGCTCCAAGCTGTCGCTCATGGCCTGTGGGAAGGCCTCCAGATAATCGTATGACTACACCCTTTGCGACGCGCACAAAGACTGACTTGCGCTTCGTCTAGGTCTACATCTCCGGTAACGCGCTGATCATCCTCGATCGACCCAACCACGTCCTCCAAACCATCTACATCGACGAGGAATTCGAGCTTGAGGCAGTCGCGATCGACGAAGGCACTGGCAAGGTCGCGGCATGTTCGACGCGACACATATACATATACCGGCCATACGGGCAAGATGAAGGCGCGATCAAGGTGGGCACACAAGGAGGGGCAGCTGGGAATGACTGCTGATATGCGCAGTGGTCGCAACAGGGCAGCACGTCCCTGTCTGACGCCGATGACACGATAACGACTCTTTCATGGGGCATGCCAGATGAATTGCTCGTCGGCAGCGCATCCCTCACCCTCTTCAACACCCACAGCGACATCGAACGAATATGGACAAAGCAGCTAGCGAACCCTGTCAAGTTCGCCCACTTCTCGCCCGATGCCGAGTTGATAGCTTCGACAGGCAGGTACGACCGCCTCCTCAAGATATGGCGACGCACATCCTTCGGCTCTGCGGATCAGAGCTTCGACTACTTCTATCTCCCACACCCCAAGGCCATCACAGGCTTGCATTGGCGGCACCCATACCACAAAGACCAGTCTACGGACAACGTGCTATACACAATATGCGCGGACCAGAAGGTACGGGTCTGGGTACCAGGAGAGCATCACGGCGTAGATGGTATGCACATGTGGGCTGAGGTGGACCTCGTTGAGTCCATAATGTCACGCCATGTGCCACTGGAGCAACAGTCGAAGAAGCGATATGCCTTCTTCATCGACGGCAAGCACTTTACACACGCAACGGAAAGAGCGATGCAGCAGGCTTCGGCAGAAGAGAAAGACCACGGCATCGCGCTGCATCACCTGATAGAAGTCGCGAATCGCAACCCGGAGATATGTGTTGTACTGGATGATAGAGGCAACATGTCTGCGTGGGGTTTTGAGAACGTAGGGGCAAAACAGAAGAAAGTCACCGACGTCTTCAACATTGCGCATGTCGATGGACTTCATCTACACTTCGCAAAGGAACCGAAACCCATCGAGGACAATGTACAACTCTACGCGTTCATCGGCGACAAACCTGACTCTGAGTTGACCCTACTATCGCATCACTTTGACGGGCGAATCGAGTGGCTAGAGTCGCGCATCGACTATCTGTTCGACCCTTCGTCACAGCCACAGCGCATTCAGCGCAAGGCTATGTGGACGGGACACTCACATGCCATCAAGAAGGTCAATCGCACAGCTAGCGGAAGAGCATTGGTATCGCGGACCACGACAGATGAATGCATTGTATGGCTACAGCGGCAGAGCGATCAGGGCATGACGTTACATCGACACTGCAGCGTCAAAGTGACGGAGCACATCCATCGTATCGCTCTCTTGCATGAGGGTAACTTCATTGTCTTCCTACATCATGACGAGATCTCGCTTTGGGATACTCGTGGTCATGAAGCCGTTGAGATGACACGGCTCGCATACAAACTCCAGGGTAAACCTCTGTGTCTGCTAGTGATACCAGAGGTCGAAGTTGTTGGACAGCGCATACACATCGCCACCATCAGTTCCGAGATGAAAGGCATCTGCTGGGAGGTCACACTGCCAAAGCCGGAGCGAGATGCACCTGGGGGTGAGGAACAGCTCGCCATCTCGCAAACCAATGGCTATACCAACGGTCATTCAGAGATCACGCTCAAGGAGTTCTCCACATTCAACCTTGGATCTGGCGACAACCTTGCTTTTGTACTGCCTGTAGACCCCGCTGGCACAGCACCCGTCATCTCGGGTTTTCTTGACACCTTTGCGCGAGATATAGCCATCTCATACACAAAATCCGGAATCATCAAGTCCTGGACCGCGCGTGTCAACATCGAAGATCGAAAACTGGACTGGCTGTTGACTTCGGAGGTCGAGACTGGCGTCAAAAACCCATCACTTGCTAGTGGCACGTCGATACGCAAGGCTGCGTTGGCCGATGCTGATCGAACTACACTCACTATATGGAACACCCGAAGCGCCCAGTTGGAACATGAAGAGACATTCGAAGGCAGCGGAATCATCCAGGATCTCGACTGGTCTTCTACCCCCGACAACCAGTCCATACTTGCTGTGGGCTTCCCCCACCGTGTCGTCATCTACGCCCAGCTGCGATACGATTACCTCAACGCCGGTCCATCCTGGGTACAGATCAGTGACGTGCGCATTCGCGACATCACGCCACATCCGATCGGCGACTCGGTATGGCTAAGCAGTGGTAATCTGGTCATTGGCGCAGGCAATCAGCTCTTCATTCAAGATGAGCATGTCCAGGTGTCCGAAGGGCTATTCCCTAGCTTACGTACCATCTCACGGAAGACGGCATCTATCGACATCTTCGATGCAGTTAGCAGGCTCAACGGTCCTCTACCCGCGTATCACCCCCAGTTACTTTCACAATGCGTCTTGGCCGGCAAGTTGCTACTGGTGCAGCGCATCCTGATTAGGCTTTACACTACACTCAAGTTTTGGATCGAAGGTGAAGAGCTTGACAGCTCGTTGGGATTCGCACCTGAAGACTTCTCAGAAGCCGAGGTACGTACATGAACAGCTCTATCTAGATTGAACTAACCTTTGCAGACTCAAATGACTGCATCTCGAAAAGAGGTACATTCATCCTACGCCGATTTCTCTGACGATAGCGAGCCTGAAGCAGTCACCGAAGAAGTCGCCTCTAGTCTCAAAGAGCTCCTGACCACCAAGCGCATACCGCTCTTGACCAGTCGCGAACAGTTTCGCTTGGCGGACATCATCGAGTGTATTGGCATGGTAGAGAAGCATCGTCGATCCATTGATGAGAACGCTGGTCGCTTCTTGCTGTTCTTCCGACAGCATGTGCTGAGTGAGACACACAAGGGACCCATCTCGTGGCGCGAGATCATCTGGGCATTCCACTCAGGAAGTCAGGATATTCTTGTCGATCTTGTCAGCAGACACTTCAACGGGAAGATGATGTGGCAGCACGCAAAGGAGTGTGGAGTGTTCATGTGGATGTCCGACATCAACGCACTGGTATAGTACACTCTTCCTTGTCGGTAGAAAATGCTAACGATATCTACAGCGCGCACAATTCGAGGTCATCGCTCGAAACGAGTACACGAAAACCGACGAAAAGAACCCCGTCGACTGCGCCCTATACTACATGGCCCTCCGGAAGAAGCCGGTTCTAGTGGGTCTCTGGCGAATGGCTACTTGGTCGAGAGAACAGGGCGCAACACATCGACTATTATCGAACAACTTCAACGAAGACCGCTGGAAGACCGCCGCTCTCAAGAATGCGTACGCATTGATGGGCAGGAGAAGATTCGAGTATGCTGCATCGTTCTTCTTGCTTGCAGATCATCTACAAGACGCTGTCAGCGTTCTCCATAATCAGCTTGGTGATACCCAGCTCGCAATAGCAGTCGCCCGCGTCTACGGTGGTGATGACTCACCCATCTTACTGGACTTCCTGAGAGACAAAATTCTGCCCCAAGCTGCTAGAGAGGGCAACCGATGGCTCGCAACATGGGCATACTGGCTATTAAACAAGAAGGACATGGCCGTTCGCTCGCTGGTCACACCGTTGGCCACTCTACTTGAGACCTCCGAACCGCCCAGTTCAGCCGCTAAATCGTACCTCACCGACGACCCCGCCTTAGTAGTCCTGTACAAGCAGCTCCGCGAGAAGTCGCTTCAAACATTACGCGGAGCCACAATGATAGGCATGCGCGAAGAGTGGGACTTTGTGCTACATACAGCTGGGCTATACGACCGCATGGGCTGCGACGTCCTCGCCCTCGATCTAGTCAAGACATGGGAGTTCTTACTCCCACCACCACCGACAAAAGCAACATCCGGCCGCCCACCGCTAAGCCCCTCGATGCCGCGACAGAGCTATCAATCGCAGGGAAGAAACCAATCTGCGACGGACTTTGACTTCGATCCCAGGAAACTGCTACGTAGGAGGAGTTCGCTCGTTATCGCTGATCTACCGGTGCGAGAGCATGCGCATAACGATTTGGCGGAAAGTAAGGGCACGCTGGAGGAAAGTAGGGAGAGTGGTGAGGAGGATGGCGAGGAAGGAGGTGAAGAGGGTGAAGAGGATAAGAAGAATGATGAGAAGCCTAAGGAGGAGCCGAAGAAGAAACCGCCGCCGACTCAGTTCAATGAGCCGGATGCGAATAGTTTGTTGGATGCTTTCGGGTTTTAGTAGATTTGGTTGGTTGATACATTGTGGTTCTGGTATGAAGGTTTGGGGATAGTGGCATGGCTGGGTGTTCTGAGCGGTACTTGATAGGTATGATAGTCGGTGCGTGTATTCTGCACGTGGCTGCCAGTATGAAATCTCAGGCCTTGTTGTTCTATCCAAGATTGACATTGACAGTACCAGCGGTGATCATAACCTACATCGTTTTCCACGAACATAGACAAACCAATGGGTATTATTACACAGTATGTCGTACCCAACAGTACTGGGACCTAGCTGCGTCACAATTTGCCAAACGAGTGATCCATCACATCCCTCAATCCCATAAACTAAACAAAGAACGCAGCAGCTGCGACACCAAGTCCAGCCAACAACGGCGCACCCCTAACCATCGGCGCACCAGCCTCCGTCACCTCAGGCACGGGCGCAGTCCCAGAAGCCCCCGTCGCGTCCGTAGCAGCACCCGTAGACATAGCACTCGACATCGTCGGTGTAGCCGCAGCAGTAGCCTTTAACTTCTCCGTCCCCGCAGTAATAACAAGGTAGTAAGTCCCGAATTGCGTCGCCTCGATCTCCACCTCAGAAACATAAGGTTCGTCGGGCGTACCACTCTCACTGCAGTAGGCAGGCTGAGAGACGGACGAGACAGCAGAGCCATAGCCATAGCTCAAAGTCTGCCTGATTGTCTCTGTACCTGCAGATTCAGAGCCGCGCGCAGGATACGTGTGTGTTCTCGTCCAGATCTCCTCAGTTGTCGAGATATACGCGGGATTTTCGCAGAGAAGACTAGCGAGACCCGGAGGGTAAGAAACTGTGCATGTGCGGTTCGAGTCTGCTTCTTCGGGGGTCGGCCAGGTGCAGTCGAGTGCGTAGGTGTCGTCCTCATCGTCTTCGCTGGAAGGGGTGATGCCAACGTCGACTGTGGTGCCGTAGTATTCGGGACCTATGGTCATGGTCATGGGGTCATCGCGACCGATACTCAGAGCGTCCAGATCGGTTCCTTCGTCGTATTCGACGGCGACGGTGGTGTGGGTTTCGTTGGCGGCGATGACGGAGCCGACGAAGCCGATGTTGTCTGTTCCGAGGCCGTTGGAGGGCATCCAGAAGGAGGTTGTTACTTGGGCTGATGCGCTGGCTGCGAATAGCATGGTTGAGAGGAGGGGTGCCATTGTTGTGGTGGTGGGTTTAGGTGTAGTGGAAGATGGTTCGCGATATGCACAACACAAACCTTTTTCTAAGAGGTCTTTACGTCCCTTTAAGCATCGTGGGTTTATAGTAGGGCATCCTCACCGGTTAGCCAAGCCCAGGGCGCAGTATCTTGGCTTGAACGGTTACAGCGGCTATCATCTCAATGAGTTGGCGTTCTGCTCAAGTGACTGGAATGTGGCGGAAAATCTGTGTTGGTTTACCACACATTGGCGCTGGTGGCCTTGTTTACAACAGAGCCTAAGTAACTCGGGTCTCGTGTGAACTCCACGCGATTGGTCCACTTAGCGATGCAGTTGCGGCTGTGCCTGGCTGTCACGGCTATATGATCCGGGCGTAATAGGTGGAACTCGGATGGATAAACGGCAGAGATCATCCGTTGTATTGTCAAGGCCAGCGGGATGTGTGTCGCCCAGTCGAAGCGAGCGAAGTGTTGCTGCGATGCTTCGGGTCGAGTTCACACGGGACGACCTTTTCATAGCCCCGTATGAGTCTTGGCTTGTAAGGCAAGCGACCTTGGTATTCCACACCGATCAGAGGCCTTACGACTGTTTAGTCATTTACAGTCGCTGAAGCTTGTCCTGGTAACCTTTTCGTCGAGTTGGAAATGCGCCTCTTTCTATCGCGCTGTGGACTTGATCACGATTCAAGTCATGCCGCGCAATCGCAACAGCCCAGAGCTTACGGGTCTATGAGTCTTCAACATCTCATAGCGAGCTTTTTGGTGGCAAAAGTAACTTCCGCGGAGACGGAAGTGAGAATGTTCTCGTTATATTCCGTGAGAACTACCAATAGTGACTTCATAAATGCAGGAGTATAAGAGTAGCGCTTGGTGTCTGAATCGTCGATGAGTTGCTCTGTCGTTGAAATTTGGTGAATGGCACACCCGTGGAACAGGACGGAGTGTCACGTGAGCGCACAAGTGGGCCCGCATCGTTCGGCTTGAAGGTATAGCCGAGTGCGCGTCATCGCGCCGGATTGGTAATCCATCTCAACACGCGTCGAATGGAGGCGATATACTGTGTAACGTCGCACTTCAACACCATATACCTACAACGATGCCTTCTCAACGCGACTTAGAAGGCGGTAGCGTGCCAGACGAGCGCGCGCCCTTGCTCTCGCATGATGCCGCGCGTCAGCACACGCCCACACCATCCGAAAGCGACGAAGTCATCGGCCAACCGGAAAAGGCGGCATCCAAGACCTGGTATTATGTTTGGAGAGGCATTTTGGCCGTCTTCGCGATACTGGTCATTGCTGTCTTCATCAAAGGCTGGATAGAGGCTGATGACGTCGATGTATGTCCCTCTGCACTGTCGCGGTACATACAAACTCCAGAAGCTCACAGCATGCGTAGTTCGATCTCAAAGGCGCATTGAAGCGTGCATTAGGTGGAGGTCTGAGTGGTGCTGCAGCGATGATACTGCAAGTGTTGCTGTTGATGCCCATCCGTACAATCATGAACTACCAATATCGCCACGGAACATCAACGACTGTCGCAACTAAGACTCTGTATGCAGACGGTGGCATAGGTCGATACTACCAAGGCATGGGTGCTGCGCTCTTCCAGGGGCCCATCGCTCGATTCGGAGACACAGCCGCCAACGCTGGTATCCTGGCCTTGCTGCAATCCAACGGCTTCTTGAAGCAGCTTCCATCGCCCATTCAGACTATCTTTGCATCTGCGTGCGCTGCAGCTTTCAGGATGCTACTAACACCAATCGATACCTTGAAAACTACTCTGCAGGCCCAGGGATCTAGTGGCTGGGGTCTTCTCCGGCAGCGCATTAGGACCGACGGCATCGGCTCTCTGTGGTGGGGTGCTTTTGCAACAGCAGCAGCGACCTTCGTTGGACACTACCCTTGGTTCGCCGTATACAACTTCCTTTCCGAAACTATCACAGAGCCATCGAGGCAGCAGATCGGATGGTGGTTGCTACGGGCGGCTTTCATCGGTTTCTGCGCTTCGGTCGCTTCGGACACAATATCGAACTCGTTACGCGTTGTGAAGACCTATAGACAGGTCAACGATACAAGGATATCCTATACCGAGGCTGCCAAGCAGGTTATCCGTCAAGACGGTAGACTGGGTCTATTTGGACGCGGACTGAAGACGAGAATCATCGCCAACGGTCTGCAGGGCATTTTGTTCTCCATCCTGTGGAAGCTGTTCTTAAAAATCTGGGAAGACAAGACGGGTTGAGCGCGACTGCGATTGGGTCGACAACTTTGAGACAAATGAATTTTGGCTTGACTACTGCAATGTGCGACTCATACGTACAACGAGGCCTCTTTTTCAATGTGTGACAGCGTCGCTGACATGCGTACTGGGGCCAAAGGTACCGGCTTAGACGTCTCCATATCCGATACTGATCCTGATCACTTTAGCTTATTTGCTTCGTCTTCTTCGCCAACATATCCCCCGCATCGTTCTCATCCCGCTTCCTCTTCGGTGACGGTCGCCTGCTTTTCTTCCCCTCAGCATCCAAGGCCGCATTCTTACCAACCTCAGTCGGGTCGTTAACCGCAACCGACTCATCGACCTGAAACTTCCTCAGCTCGTCCTCTGTCACATTCGGAACAAACAAAACACCGCCTGTCTTCCCTTCTAGAAGTCCTCTCATGTTCTTCCTCTCCGCGGCGACTTTGCTAACCCTGCCGTCGAGCTTTCCCCGGATGGATGACACGTCGCGCTGTGGTCTGGAAGGTGCATCAGCACCGTTCGCGTCTTTGAGCACCTTGCCTTCGAAAAACGCGTTGAAGGCTTCCATCACGGAGACAGGACCAGGGATCTTTATGACGTGACCCGCATCGATGGTCGCGCGCAGCTTCCTGTGGAAGAGCGTCATCCAGGCATCCTCCAGTGGTGTGTACGGGTATGCAGCCTTCTTGGTGCCAATTCCATGTTGCTTGAAAACGTTGGTGCGCCATTGTGTTATCGCGACGATCTGTGGCTTGGACTTCCAGTCGATGTCATCCTCCTCGACGTCGGTGTACGTGACGGTTTTGGACTCACCGGTCACGTTGTTGTGGAGCTTGATCGTAAGCTTGTGGACCGACTTGTTGCCCGTCCGCGGGGCGTCGATGTTGCCGTCTACCACCTCCCATCCGCTCGGTTCATCCGAAGAGGAGGCAGGGCTGGAGCTCCGCTCAGCTTTCGCATCGACCTTGAGGTTATCGCGACCCGTGTCTTTCGTCAATGTGTCTTCTGTGGCCGGCGGCTGGGCTGATGTCTTGGCAGACTTCTTTGGCGATGGCAAAGACTTCCCAGGTACCGCGGACTTTCCAGGCGAGGAGCCGAAGACAACTTTCAGTTCCTTCTTCTTCGTCGTCTTGAGTTTGGTCTGAACACCTGTCTTCTTGTTCTCCGTCGCAGAGTCAGATTCATCCCCGTCCTCGACGTTGTTGATGTAGTTCAGGTAGCCGTTGTGCCTGAAGTACTTCTCGTCCAGTACATCGTCGGTATTATCCGGCTCTCTCAAAGGTTTCGCATCGTCAGCAGGGTCAGATGGGAAATCAGCCACCGAGTCTTCTTCGCCTTCGTCAGGTATGTCGCCTGCGTGCGCCATTGAGGGCTCGTCTGTGGGCGTCTCTTCGCTGAAGTCTTCGTCAAAGTCTGGATCGTTGATGGAGCGCCATCCGGACTTTGTCTGATAACCGGCGGGATCCCACGAGGATTTGTCTATGGTCGCATCCTGGCTGGGGTTCTCGCCGAACGCTGGGTCATTGATGGAATGCCATCCGGATGTGGTCGGGAAACCAGCAGGGTCCCACGAAGACTTGTCTATGGGTTGCCATTCTGTGTTGGGAGACGCCTCTGGCTGCCGAGGGGACGACCGCATTTCCGCCGGGATCATCAGTGCCTCCAATTCCTCCAAGTCTTCATCCTCGTCCGCTGTCTCATGGTGGTCCGTCTTCCGAATAGACGTTGCCTCCTCCTGTCCACCAGTTTTGGTGGTATCGCGGTCTTGGAACTCGGGGATGTGGGTTGAAGCGCGCGGGAGTGGAAGGTTGCAGGCGATGTCAGCGTGACGCGAAGAGCGTGTAGGACTCCTGACAGTACTGTCAGTCTGGTCGAAGGCGTCAACAGAGCTACCGGTCGCGCTGTATCCTTCCCGCTCGATGCGCTCCTGTTCGATGTCTTCTACGAAGGTGCGAATCCCTGTATAGGGTGGAGATGACGGCGGCTCCATGTCAAGATTTGCGGTTGGTGTCTGGTCCATGATGTAGGTTGTGGTTGTGGTTGGGGTGGAGCAGTTGCGCTGGTGGTGTGATTTGCGGTCGGAGTAATGGGCAGTCCGAGTTGCAATGGCTGTTAAGTTGAGTGATTCAAGAGGGGCGCGGCTGGGACGATGGTGAACGAATACTCTGGTAGGTCATGCTCTATTCGAGTAGAACGTGGTGGACACCCCTTCCTTGTTTATGTCAGCACGCCGAACTACCGCACGGTTCTGGAGATGTATCGGAGCTAACCGTTGACGAGACCGGTGTAGAGGTCACCCATCAGCTTGGCACTGTTTAATGCCGCTGCTTGTGCTTGATCTCAGTCTCGACATCTTCTCGCCGCGTCCGAATACGACCGCTGCACAGCGCCCCCTACGCTGTGCGCTCACACTTCGCTTGTACGCACCTCCGAGCGCCGCATCCGCATCCAAAGACACCCGTTGCATGCGCTGAACAAAACTTCACAGACGCCATGGCCCCAGCCAGCAGCAAGAACCACCCCCCTTGGGCGACGACTGAGCAGACCTCTGCGCTGAGAGCCCACGTCGTCCTTCGGCGGCATGAAATGGTGGTACCTCCAAAGATTCTACCAGACGACGTTGAACGCGCCATTCAGATTCTGGATCAGCACGACCCTTCAACAGCGAAAGCGGATGCTAAAGACCTCAAGCCAATTGATTACGCCAAATACGCGATCAACGACCACTTGCGGCCAATGGCTAACGCAGCTGGCATGCACAACCTCCATCAAGAAGGAATAAAGAAAGGCAAACTAGTTGAACTACTGACAGACTGGGATCTACAAAACGTCCCGCTTATGGCGGCTCTGCTACCGCGCTCGGACAAGGCCACTAAGCCCGTCGTCCCTAAACAGGTCGTTTCTACGCGAAAGAAAGCCGAAACGGAGCCAACGGAGTCGAAGAAACGCAAGGCTGTGCCAACTAAAGTCACAGCGGCGAAGAAGCCCCGGAACGATGGCAATGCTTCTCCAGGGGACCACGACGTCGAAATGGAGGACCGAAACGAACCAGATGGCGGCGATTCCCTCCCACAAACTGCCATCGAGGGCAGCACATCGACTCGAACACTCGCCCGGATGCGAACGCGTTCCCGTAGGCCTCGAGATGGCCAACCACATGCTACCGTGACACACCTCGAAGCAGACAGGGGCATGGCTGCACTGTCGCTGAGGGAGTTTGGGGAAGACAAGGGCAATAGTACGGACGATGCATTGACCCACAACCGCGAAGGAGACGACAAGAGGCTCGACACTGAGGCTGGAGAGGTGCAATTGGCAGGGTCAGAGGGACGTCGTACTAAACGGCAAGTGACTAGGCGCGGGAAAGGCAAGAAGAAGAACACCAAAGCTGGCACAGCGAAACAGATGCTCAACAAAGATGGCACACTAAAGACTGCTAAACAACTTGAGGAGGAGCAGCGTCTGGAAGATGAAGAGGCGGAAAAGAAGCTGCACGAAGCGCGCTCACTAGGCCACTACTCAGACCCTGTCCTCGCGAAGCAGTTTCGTGTCGTGCACAAGACAGTTCGTGCTCCCCTGGACGGGCACATCCGACCTGGTGTCAAGCCTGCACCTACTGATCAACTGGGCTCCTGGCGTCTGCACGAGCGTCTCACGAATCAGGCAAAAGAAGAAGGGAAAGACCTAGATCTCTGGATGGGTGGCGGAGCGTCGCCATCAAGGAACGATTCCGAAGAGGACATCTACGAAGAATGGTAGGGCATGATGTTGGCATGGATGGATGGGCACACTAGTGTCGGGCGATAGCAAGCGAATACTTCACGTCAGGATGCTTTGTGTCGTGTCGCAGAGTCTTCAAACCCTTTGTTCAGGAACGGCGACGCAGGGATGATGAATACGACGTATCCCTTTTGTACTCTACAAAAGCGTTCAAAACAAAGAACGTAGCATGAATATCAGTCTCGTTCATCTAAGTGACTATAGCTTCGTCACGCTATCTTACGGAACGCTCCTGAAGCTTCCCACTTGCTATATCTCGTATTGTATTCCCCTTCCAGAGCTTCCCCCCTCTTCTCGACTGAAGATGCCGCCCAAACGCGCAGGACTTGATCCTGATGCCGCAAGTAGCGCAGAAGAATCACCAAACGCCCGAAGCGCCAGAAATACAGATAGCCCAAATCCAAGAGCGGGTAGAACATCGACGCCAGTATTGCAGAGCAGTAACGTGAGCGCCAATACCAGGAAAGGGAGACGGGGCAACAGTCCTAGATCTGAAGATAATGCCAATGAGTCCCAGAGTGTGTACGAGCACTTGGAAGCACAAAGACAAGAACTCTCGCAAGAAATCAAAGACACGAAGGAGAAAGCCGAGATACCCGATTTTGAGGAACACCTTACAAACCGTGCTCGGGCGCGAGATAAAAATGCCGGAAATCGAATAGCTCTCGTTCGTGCGGCCAACAAGGCGGTAGGCGGGCAAGAGAAATTCGACCGCGTTGTACGCCGGGAAGCCCACGCCGCACGCACACATGCGACTGCCTTGTATGAAGACTTTCAATATTATCAGACGCCTGAGTTTCGTTCTCAGTATCTCCAAGACATTGACAAGGTGAAAGATCGAATACAGCAGTCGATACGGGATGGGCAGCCTCCTGGGCTACTCTCAGGAGACGATGCTTACGATAAAGTCCTACGTCCAATCCTCAAATCGCTTGAAGATGATAAGGTCGGTCAAACGGAGACACTCGATTACGACAACATGGGTCCCCATCACCTACACGTCAGGATACCAAGGGCAAAGAGTCAAGCTGTGGGATTAGGTAGACCGCGAGTTCCGCCAATCGACCCGCCGATCAACCTGAAACTTGATGTCGAAGCTATCGAGAAGAGAAGGAAGAAAGTGGAAGATGAAAATAAGGATGACAAGATGGCTGAGTCACACTCTGAACGTCGAGCACGAGAGACGGGGCTTTCAGAAGGACTGCCCTCAGATAGTCATGTCAATGACGCATTGGCAACAGCGAATAATCTTAGTAGAACGCGACTGGAGAGTGGCCTGTTCATTTCAGCGGGCGAGACATGGGACGACTGGAAGACTTCCGACGAGCGAGATGCACCGAATGAGCTTTACGACCCACCGACCGAGGAGGAGATGCCAGATGATGACAGCGATTCTAGCGACGACGAAAACGACTTGTTTGCAATCAGTTACCGCGAATGTAGTGGTTTGGCAGGTTTTCCCCGTGGTGGCGGTGGTGGTGATGATGATGATGGCGGTAGTGATGATGATGGCAATAGTGAAAAGGGGGAAAAGAAAGACACCAATGATCCAGGAGCACCAGCCAACCCTGCTGGTGGGCCGCCAACTGGGTCCGAACCTCGACCTCAATCGCCAAGAAAGAAAGCGAAGGAACATGACTACACGCAATACAATCGCCCACAAGTCCGTACAGCTTTGAAGTATCGAGAGCAAGCTCAGAGTGCTCAGTATGTTACGGAGCTCCACAAGCGTGCTAATGATTATGACGACAACCCGAAACAACCTGGTACTATTCATCACTATATCCTGAAGGATCGGAGTGTCGCAAATCGTCTTGAGAAAAGGATTACTGAACTGGGTGAAGGTTGGTCGACTGAATATAAAAAAGAACTCGATGAGCAGAATAAGAATGGCGAACAAGTAGATACTGACGTATCCGAAGAGAACTCTCCCGCGTCAACCGGGAAGGGGAAAGCTAAGAAGACATCTAAATCTAAGGAAAAGAAGAAGACGCAGCCAAAACGTAAGAGCAAGAAGTAGAACCCTTCGCTTATCTCTTCGATCTTTGGCAAAAAGGACGACAAGAAGGAGCGTGGGCGTGTAGGTGCAAGCTTGGACTGGGGTGACAGCCGGTGCATGGCATGGAGATGCATGCGATGCTCTTCTCGCGCTCGATCTCGCAGTCTGCTAGAATAGACCAAACTTAGTATAGTTCTCACAATTTCAGCACGTTGTGCTTCTTCATAGCGCGCGCTTTGCTTTGAGCAATCAGTTTGGTGTGAGTCGCGAAAGCAGCTTATATATTCCTCAACTGTTAACTTACTGCAGTGTGCGACTTAATATTCTAGTTCCCTTCTATTCTATCTATAGTACTGCAATAACGCAGAGTAAGATAAGCTACTTATAACTCCTTAAATACACAACTACTATATACGCAAAAGGTACTTCTTATTAAATAAGAGACATCGCAATCCTTAAAGTCTAAGCAATTAGTTCGAGACATAGACTACGCTAAGAGCTGAGTAAAGCTTAAGTCCTGTTGTATCTGACTGCCGCAGTGTTCTACGACGCTGCAGCTCGTTTGGAAGCTTATACAGAGCAGAAGCTTTCGTGGGTCACACTGTTGTCGAACATTGATTGATGACGTACCCCCAATCCGGTTAGGGTTGCGCTGTGTAGGGTCAGAGCGGGACGTCGCACGTGAGGGACGCTTCACCTCCAGGGTTTGCTCGCAGCATGGTCACTCACCCTGGGATACAGGCTCGGCAACTTCCATCGCAAGCGTATCATTGGCGCGACTCGCGTGCCGTTCCGCATACGACGCGACCCCAGTCACGATCCTTGGCGCACACCTCCGCAGCCCATCTCGCTCCGACCGCACAACCCCACCGCACCAAGACAGCGCCTACAGAAAGACAGCCGGCAGCGCGCGATACTGCACACGATGGCGGACGACTACGAGAATTGGCCGGTGAACGTCAGTTCGGGCAATAAACTAGCCCTTCGACCGACGCTCAAGAAAGCCGACGACAAACTTACGAATTTCAACGGTATATCGAAGGATGCACTTGTGGGGATCTTTCTGGACTTTGATAACAGAAACTATCCGCTGTCTCTGAGCGACACTGATATCAAGGACAAAGTGACCGCCGCACAGAAGGCAAAGTTGAAAGAAGAGGTGAATAGGCAGAAGGAGATCGCGAAGCTAAATAAGAAGCTGAAGGAAGAGGAACAGAAGGCAGAGCGAGAGAAACAGCGTAGCGCGAACGCAGCAGCAAGGTCTGAATTAGAACAGAAGAAAGAGACGACCACGGTGAGGCCTGCGAAGACCAAGGCCAGCGCTCAAGAAGATGAAGCTACCCCGATCGACGGCGAAGCAGCGGATCGAGATCAAGACGGAGATGTGCGTATGGCGGGAGATGAGGATGCGGCAGAGGCAGTACCGTTGGTCGATCCGACGGCGGAGGCGGTCTCTAGTCCCGTCAACGGCGGGGGCAAGCGCAAGCGTCCTGCCACAGTGAGTCCATCTGACACCAAGCGGGCACGTACCTCCCGACCGAAGACATCGTTAATCGTGAAGTTGGAGCTGCCGACTATAGATGGAGTTGCGACTGGCGGCATGCAGACTAAGACACAAGTAAGTGAGACCGAGTGCGACAAGATCATGGCTCTTGCTAACGACAATGCTCAGGGTCTTGGTGCTCGTAAGCGTCCGAGACAAGCTGCTGGAGACACGCGCACAGCAAACACCCGGCGCACTCTTAAGAAGCCAGGTTCGAGGCTACAGCATGGCGTGGTATCTCCTCTTGAGCTCGCAAAACCCATGGAAGGCAGCAAGAACAACCCTGGCGATACAGGCGCTCAAGGAGTGGGCGATGTATTCGGCATCGCCGCGCCCGCAAACGACCCTGAGCAAATCCCGTTCCGACGCCATCCGCCACGTACCAACAGGAATCTGGCGAAAGCGCCAGCCGTAGACGAGACTGTCGCTTCTGATGACGGTTCCGATGAATACGAGCAAACCTCCGAAGAAGCTGCTGTGTCCAAGGCGTTGTCGGTGGAGGACGACGAAGGTCCCGACGCAGATGGACTGGCAAAGAAGACACACGTGCCGGCAGGGATACTGCCCCTTGACAAATGGGTTGACGAAGACGACTACTCGCACTCTCCATACGATGAGGTTGCAGCACGGACCATAGTCGCCGCGAAAAGTGGCAATCTGGGTTCCAGTCGCGATCCCAACCTCGTCAAGGAGTTCAAGGGTACCCACAAGGTAGATGGCTATATGCACATTCCTCCACTCTGGTTAGCGAAGAAGATGAATCGTGACCAGTTGGGCGCCGGAGAACGGGAGTTGTACGACGTGCAGAAGGAAGAGTGGGAGAGACAGGATGCGATCATGGCTGGAGTATCTCCTCCAAAGAAAACTGCTCGACCTAAGCGGAAGACCTGGCATGATGAATAAGAGAGAACATGTGGAGCAAGCCACCATAGGGGCCAGTTAGGAGTACTCTTCGGGCCTGGGTGACCACGACCAGATGTCGGCATGCATACATAGCTCTTTGTCTAAAGCGGTAGTGCGCGCATGTGCCCTTTTCGGACATCTGTACCTAACGAGCGCGGCTTTGTTTGAAGGTGGGGCAGAGATTTCGCCGAAGACGGTCAATAGCTCTTTGTTTGGACTGTTTTGTCAGTCAACGAAATGGTACAATTACCATCAAGCCGTTCTCTTGCAATGCCACGGTCTGATCTTACGCAATTTGATGCAATCGATTTCGACGTCCAGCTGAACAATCCCGCATTAGCCCACGTCGAGTGCGACCTTCCCTACGAGAATATGGCTAAAAGGAAACCACGCGGCAACGGTGGTTCTGGACAGGATGGCAAACAAGAGAAAGGGGGGAAGAAGAACGGTACTGGCAAAGCTGATGAGGCACCAAGGGCAGCGGAGATCCGAAATAAATACATGCCACACCTGGTTTTGGTGACTACAGAGCCAGGAAAAAAAAAGAAGTTGCACGAAACATGGGAGTCCATAAAAAAGAGCCTTGAATCCTGGCAAGAGCTGACGGCGAAGGCAAAGGATTGGGAAAAGGACCACGCTGCGTATTACGAATTTGAAGCGATTGAAGCTGAATATAAGGCCAAATTTCAAGCGCACCAAGATGCCCTAGATCTCGAAGACCAGCAGACTGGTCATCGTCGTGGGCATTTACAACAGACCAAAGACGCCAAGAAGGCGATGATGCTCGCACAACAGGCCTACAAGAAAGTGAAGAAGGATAAAGATAAAAAGAGATTCGACAGAGTGGAACGCCGACAGAACCACGATTGGGCAACCACCGCGCAACAAGTACTCGAAGACTGGCTCTTCTATCAGGAGGCCTCCAATCGGCGAAGGAGGGGACGATATCTGGACCCGGACGAAAGAATGCTTGCCGAGGCGGAACGACTGCAGCGGAAGCTCACATACAAGCTCGAAACGTCAGGCACCGATGGTGGTTATTATGACTGGCTGCATTCGTTGCTTGAACTTTATGACTCAAGAGCCATTGGCGGTCAAAGCTACAGACAAGGTTTCGAAGATCATCTGGGAAACCAGATCCGGGATATGAGGAACAGTGCAGGAGCTATTCCTCGCGTCGGGCCAGGTGAACTTCGCCTGTGGACACCGATGTACAGGCGTCGACTTGTTGGCTTGCGTCGCTCAGGGGAAGACGACGCTGACAGCGATATCCCAGATGAGATACCGCACCGCTTTGAACTGGATGAGGCAGCCATTGAGACAGAGCGGGCAAAGGTGGACAGTAAAATAGATAGCGAAACGGAGAATCTCCTATACACCTCGCATGAGGAAAGACGCCAGGACGAAGTCACACAGTATAAGAACGATAGGCCTAACACTTCGAATGTACGGGAAGTAACGACGTCCAGTGGAACCATCATTGAAGACAGGTGGGGACAAATTCGGACGGAACAGGGCCTGTTCATATCTGCACGGGAGAGCTCATGGGACTGGCTGACTTCGTATGACTTGCTCGGGCCGGTGAAATCGGGCTGGCACCCTGAGACAAGCGCAGTCAGAGACGATCCAGAAGACTTGGTATATCCTGAGAGTGGAAGCGAACGCGGCAGCCAGGTGGATGCACCACAGGCTTCCGGTGATCAGCCTACTGGTGAACCCTCGCGCGATCCTATCGGCACTAGAGCAGAGAATGGCGAAGCTGGCATCGAAGAGGGTCAACGTCGTCTCCGAAAAGAGAAGAATGGGCGCGGGAAAGGGACAAGCAAGCCCGGTTCCGCCTCGCAGTCATCCGGAAAGGCCTCAGCAGGTGGTGAGCCGACTAACGACGCGACCATACTCGAGAAGCCAGCAGGTGAAAGCCGAAAAGCTGGCAAAGCGACCATCAATTACCCATACCCCGCCAGAGAGTTCTGGAGAGATTCGAAACCATTCCAATTGGGCGAACGCAAGTTCGTCACCACCGAGTGGGCAGAGGAAACGACCGGTCGCCGCGAACGACACACATACCGAAAGCTGCAGCATGCCTCACCTGTCAACTCGCCCCCTCAATCTCCAGTATTAGAGGAAATATCAGATGCCACCATACCCGTGGGCTTCCCCGAGACGGATACGCGAGCTGTCGCTCTAGAGCCAAGATCTCGCAGGAAAATATGTCTTCTGAATCCCAATAGATGCCGAGCATTCTGGCCCCACTCTTTGAACGAGTGTTGGATACCATACTCAGAGCGACCGACGCGGCCTGAAGAACCTGTAAAGTGGCCCATCCAGGGGATAGATGCACCCAAAGACGTGACCGAAGGGGGTCCGGATGGATACGTGCCGGCACTCGGTATGCCTGTATACCGCTCTAGGCTATACGACCACTATGGACTGATGTTCCAGAGCACACCCAAGGATGAGGCCCCAGCGCGGCCCATATGGCCTAGGATTGGAATACGAGTGCCATATGAACCAATGACGTTCGAAGACCTTCGTCTGTGCAGAGAAGATGAGGGTAAGGGTGAGACGGAGCCGG